ATCCGGAGGGCTGGGGAAGACAGAAGCAGTCTGGATTGAAAAACAGGTCCCTTCACAGGGAGTTCACTGAAAACGCTGGGCCTATAAGGCCCTCTGAGATCTCGGTGGAACCTCCAAATGTTATATGTTGGAGTTCGCCAAAAATCACCAGCACCACTTTAAGAAAAGTAGCAAGGTAAATGTTTATTATTTCAACCAGCTGGACTGTCTATCTTGGGAGTAGACACAGCCCTGATCATTGTCAGGTCAAGAGTTTTTATAGGATTACAGAAATATTATTCAAACAGGACACTTGTGAACCAATTAGGTTTGTACAACATAGCAGAACTTTGAATCTATTAATCAACCAATCATTTTACAAACAAGTGATACAGGCATATAACTTGGAATCAACTTTGTAATTTTTAAATTAGTCAACTTCCTAGCCATAACAAGTATAGTAAGAAAGCCAAAATCAGCAGTTACTGGGTGGTCAGACAATAACAGGGTGGACTTATACTTTGTGTCAGGGTGACCTAAAATAGCAAGCAAGTTACAGAAGCAAAAACAAGCAGTTAGTCAGATGTAGAACGTCTGAGATCAGCATGTTCCACTGGTTTGTAATTGAGCTATTTCTTAGAACTCAAGGCTGTTGTCTCTTTTTAAATATTTTTCATAAGTGAAAAGAGGTTACTGTTAAAATAGCTATTCTGAGAAAGATGGAGTAACTTAGGTTAAGTTGCTAATATAGTTCAGGGAGTTCCAAAGACAAACTTGACCCATTTTGTTAACAAAAATTTTGAGAGGAATCCTTTCAGACTGAGGTTGAAAGGTACTGCTGTGTCCTAGCAGAAAAGCCTCAGTCTTCCTCCTAGTAGCAGGTGGACAATAAAGTCCTACAGGATAACACCTGATGAAAAACTAACTGCCCCTCAGGAACTATGAAAATTCAAGTGTAGAGGACCATCTCCATCTCTTGACTAACTGATGCTTATCTTATTTCCCATCATTTATCAGGAATTAGGCTAAGTATTTGTTTGTTTATTTGGATTTTCTTGAGACAGGGTCTCCCTGTAGTCTCAACAGGCCTGGAACTTGCCATGTAGACCTGGCTGGCCTCAAACTCAGAGATCTGCCTGTCTTGTTCAAGGCCAGCCTGGTCTACAGAGGGGGCTCGAGGCTGCAGGAAGACCCTGTCTCAAAAAAAAAAGACTAAAGATTAAAAAAAAAGGTTGGAGAGCAGTTGAGGAAGACACTTGATTTCAATCTCTGGCCTCCACACTTGTGCACACACAAAAGAACAAGCCAGGCATGGTGTCCCAAGTTGGAGGGCAGCCTGAGCCTGATCTATGTAGGGAGACCCTGTCTCAAAACAATCAAAAAAAGCAAGAACAAAGATTTCAGTAGACTTAATGTTTTTATGAGTTGGTTCATTTCACAAACATGCCACAAGGCACTGTGGCAATCAGAGGACAGTTTGCAGGAGCCAGTTCTATCCTTCCACCATATGGGAACCAAGGATCCTGGGATTCAATCCCTAGTACCACATAAACAAAATATGGTGGCCCACACCTGTAATCCTAGTGCTTGGGAAATGGGAGGAAGAGGATGGGACGTTTAAGGCCATCTTCAGTTACATATCTTGCTCAAAGCCTGCCTGGGATGCATGAGGCCCTGTCTCAAAAAAGAGGACAGGGAGGCCAGGCGTGGTGGCATGTACCTTTAATCCCAGCACTTGGGAGGCAGAGTCAGGCAGATCTCTGCAAGCTCGAGGCCAGCCTGGTCTATATAAGCGAGCAAGTTCCAGGCCAGCTGGGGCTACAGGGAGACCCTGTCTCAAAAAGACCAAAAAGCTGGTTTGGGGGGCAGGTGAGATGGCTCCATGGATAAAGGCACTTGCTGTGAAAGCCTGGTAACTGATTTTGATCCCTAGAACCCAGGTAAAGGTGGAAAGAGAAATGACTGCACCAAGTTGTCCTCTGACCTCCACAAATATGCCTTGGCAAGCACGCGCACACACACACAGACACACACACACACGTTTAAATAAGAGCCAGGTAGTGCATACTTTTAATCCCAGCACTGGAGAGGCAGAGGCAAGGGGATCTTTGTGACTTCGAAAGGTTAGCTTGATCTACACAGTGAGTTCCAGGACAGCTAAGGCTGACTTCACATCATGAGACCCTGTATCAGAAAAAAAGGGAAAGCCTATAACCATTAACAATCACTTTGTATTCCATTTCTTCATCTCATTCCCCAGCCCTTCCTAACCATTCATCTTTCTTTCTCTAGCTGTTAAATTTAACATTAAGTTGGTCACAAATCCTCAAAATCTACCTCTAACTCTGGACCACAGGTGGAGTTTGATTGGGAGTATAGTCCCACTTTATCAGCTTGTACTGTACAGACTCAAGCTTGGGGCCTCATTCAGCAGCTCCAAGTTTGCCTTGCAGGGACTTAAATTTTTTTTATGTGCATGAGTGTTTTGCGTGCATGTCTGAAAGTGCACCCTTGTCATGCAATGCCTGCAGAGATCAGAAGAGAGTGTCAGATCCCCTGGAACTGGAGATACAGATGGTTGTTAGCCTCCATGTGTTGCTGAGAACTGAGCCCAGTCCTCTGCAAGAAAAGCCAGTGCTCTTAACTGCTGAACTCTCACTCCAGCCCCCAGCCGGCAGTTATTTAAAACCAAAATTCTATTACCAAGAGTTATGCTTGGGTCTCAGTATTGCCATGGAAGTTAACTCTGCGTTAAATGAGCTTTGTTAGAAAACAGAGGAAATGAGAAAACTCCCAAGGAAGGGTGGCTCTCCAGACAAGAGCCTGAAAATCCCTTATGAAATAGAGATTAGGACTAGGAATGTGGTTCAGTGGTAGAATGCTTGCTTAGCACGTATGAGGTTCTAGGTTCAATTCAGAGAGGAGGAGGGAGAGGGAGAGGTGGAGAGGAGAAATAGGGACTATCATCATATGAATAGCAACCCTCTGATGCTTTGATATTGATTGAGCTTTTCTGACAGGGTCTTACAAGCCCAGGTTGGCCTCTGATTTTTTTTTTTCCAGGCAGGATCTATGTAGCTCAGGCTCACTTCTTGTTGACTGACTGACTGATGATTGACTGATTAAGGAGGGAAGGGTCTAAGTATGCGGCTCAAGCTGCCCTCTGATTTTTGTGTGTGTACATCAGGATCTTACTATATAGACCAGGCTAGTCTCCAACTCATTGCAGTCTGTCTTGCCTCTACCTCAAGAGTGCTGGGATTTTGTTGTTTTAAAGACTGTGTGTGTGTGTGGGGTGCCTGTGGGGCTCCGAAGGGGGTTTTGGATCCCTTGAAGGTAGAGTTACAGGCATTTGTTGTTGTGTTTGTTTTGGTTTTTTTTTTTGGTCTTTTTGAGACAGGGTTTCCCTGTAGCCCCAGCTGGCCTGGAACTCACTATGTAGACCAGGCTGGCCTCGAACTCATAGAGATTCGCCTGCCTCTGCCTCCCAAGTGCTGGGATTAAAGGCGAGCGCCTCCATGCCTGGTGAGTTACAGGCATTTGTGAGCCACTGTTGGGGACTCCTGCTGTGTAAAGTAGCAGTTTCTCCATGTCTGGAAAGGCCACGGGCTCGGATTCAAATGCAGAGACTCCTTTTTTAGCAGGGTGCCTTCCCGGCATCTTCCTGACTCATCTTTTGAAGGAACCATCACAGAAACAAGGCCTCCGGCTCTGGAAAGTGCTAGCCTTTCCTTTGTGATTTTTCAGGCAGTCTGGCAGCCTGGCAGGAGCTTACCGCCACATGTAAATGGGGCATCCTAAAAGTACCTATCAGCTAAGGTTTTTACTACCACCCCCACGGTATAAAGTGTCCTGATTTTTCCTCAATAATTGGAGCTGGAGCTGGAGCTGGAGCTGGAGCTGGAGCTGGAGCTGGAGGGGACTAGGCTGAGTCCCGTGTCTTATTGCCTACGATCCAGTCTCTCCGGAGAAAACTGTTTCTTTGTAAGCCACAACTCCGGAACCCTAGCTTTAGCCGTCCTGCACCTCCCTGTGAGATCATCCAGCAGCCGGTGGATTTCGCATCTCGAGGACGGTGAAATTAGGACGGAACTCGACCGGGCCACAGCGGAGAAACAGGGGCCCGCCAGCAACGCAGAGCAGATGCGCTGCGGGACCCGCCGCCTTCCAGGTGTGCGCAGGGGACCGGAGCTGCGCTAGGAGCTGGCACCCCGGGATCCCTGCGCACCCCATAAGCCACCGAATGTGGGTGCTGGGATTTGAACTCTGGTCCTCTGATACACCAGTCATTGCTCTTAACCACTGAGCCATCTTCTTTCTAGAGCCTTGATTTCTTTTCTTTCTTTTTTTTTTTTTTGAGATAGGGTCTCACTATGTGGCCCAGGCTGGATTCTGATTGTTTGACTTTTTAAAATTTCATTTATTTATATCTTTATAAGTGTTTTGCCTGAATGTAAGTGCACCATGTGCAAGCAATGCCTCCAGAGATCGCAGAAGGCGTTAGAGCCAGTGAAATTGGAGTTATAGACGGTTGTTAGCTGCCATGTGGATGCTGGGTATTGAACCGTTCCTCTGCAACAGCAGCCAGTGCTCTTAAACACTGAGCCACCTCCTGCCCTGGTTTCTAACGGGACCCTTTAGCAGGCCTGGAGAGGAAAACCTCAGGCACCAGACGTCACTCTCCCGCCACCGGTATTTTTCAAAAAAAAAAAAATGTCTCTCTGGTTACGGTCTCGAAGCAGTAGCGCTTCCACTTTTCTCCGGGCGCGCTCGTAGTGACGTATGGCGGCGCACAGGTAGGGACGTAAGGGCGTGGGGCGGTGCACGCTGGGATATTTAAGTCTCCTCCGCGGCGCGGAGCCGCAATGTCTCCGGCGGCTGCGGCGGCTGGCGGAGGCGATCCACGAAAAAAAATGTCTCTCTGGTTACGGTCTCGAAGCAGTAGCGCTTCCACTTTTCTCCGGGCGCGCTCGTAGTGACGTATGGCGGCGCACAGGTAGTGACGTAAGGGCGTGGCGCGGTGCACGCTGGGATATTTAAGTCTCCTCCGCGGCGCGGAGCCGCAATGTCTCCGGCGGCTGCGGCGGCTGGCGGAGGCGATCCACGGCGGCCGGCATTGGGCCTGCGGGAGGGCCGGGGCCGGACCCGGGGCTGCGGTGGATTGGCGGGCGCTGCGGCGCTCGGCTTAGCGCTCCTCGGCCTCGCGCTTTACTTGGTGCCGGCGGCGGCCGCATTGGCCTGGCTGGCCGTGGGGGCGAGCGCAGCCTGGTGGGGCCTGAGCCGCGATCCCCGCGGACCTCGCGGCCTTTCCTCGCTCGTGCGCGACGCGCGACGCCAGCCGCGAACCGCGCTCACCTCCTCGGCGCTTCCCGCCAAGTCGGCGGTTAACGGTAACCTCCGGGAGCCCCGCAGCCCACTCGGAGGCCCCGACCCCGCCGAGCTCTTGCTCATGGGCAGCTACCTGGGTAAACCCGGCCCACCGCAGCCTGCCTTCGCTCAGGAGGCCAGGGACCCGCCGGACAGGCCCAGCCGCCGCACGCCCACACTCTCCCCACCGCCGGCACCCGCCGCCCAGCGCGTCCATCATGTCTACCCCGCGCTCCCCACCCCACTCCTACGAGCCTCCCGAAGGCCTCCGCACCGGTAAGCCGCGGCGATCTTCCCCAGGGCCTCTGTGGTCCAACTTGGAAATCCGACTTTCTCTTGCCTTCCCTCTCCTTTTCTTTATCCCCTTCTCTCTTTCCTATTTCCTTTTGAGATAGTCTCAGGTAGCCCAGGCTAGCATAGAACTCACTATTCAGGCTGAGCCTGGCTTTGAACCTCCTTATCCTCCTGCTTCTACCTCCCAAGTGCTGCTGGGGTTGCAGGTTTGCACCATCACATCGGGTTGTGTATGGTGCTGGATCGAACCCAGGGCTTCACGCATGGTAAGCAAACACTTTGCCAGCTGAGCTACATTTCCTGCCCTCCCCCGTTTATTTTAAATAGAATCTCTTGTTTCTCAGTCTGCTCAAACACTATAGGTGAGGACGAATTTGAATTCCTCATCCTCTGCCTCCGCCTACTACCTGATGGGATTGCAGGTGTGCTCCACCACACCCAGTATAGGTTCTGGATAAATCTATTTTTTATTACATATATTTATGTGTGTGTGTGTGTGCGCGCACACACACACACACGTGCACTTGGGCACACAGGCATGCCACTGCATGCATGTGGAGTTCAGAGGACAACTTGCTGGAATCAGTTTTCTCCTTCCATCCTCTGGGTCCTGGGATCAAATTTAGGTTGTCAGGCTTGGCAGCAAGAGCCTTTATTCACTCAGCCATTTTACCAGCCCTGTTAAATATATTTAGTTCAGAAGATGACTACTTCTATTTGACTTTGGCTGTGTGTGTATTAATGATCTAGACTAAAGAATTACAAAGGCCCTGCTTGCACATCCCAGCTGCATGTGCTTTTTCTTCCACAGGACCTGTGTGGACAGGGTTTTAAATTTATCTGTTAAGTCTGTGGTAAGGACATCCATTAAGCATTTGACACTTTGTGCCCTTGGATGGAATGGGAGAAAGTTGACATAAAAATACTGCGTTCCCTGTTGCTTAGAAAGAGGTTTAAGGACTGGGCTATAGCCCATTGGTAGAGTGTTTTGTTTAGCATGTGCACAGTTCCAGGTTTTATCCCCAGTACTACCACAAAAGAGAGAAATGCTCTCCAGAAAAAAAGTGTGAGCACCCGTGTTTCTGCTGTGCTTTAGGTTTGATTTTCTTTTAAGGTTCTTTGGGTCCACCATTCATCTCCTGTCCTCCACAGGGATTGTGGGACATTATCCAATCGGTTTATCATAACACCTCGAAGACGCTATCCAATCCAGCAGGCCCAGTATTCTTTGCTGGGGTCACTGCCAACAGTGTGTTGGAATGGTGGTCACAAGAAGGCCGTGCTGTCTGCTCGGAATTCAAGGATGGTGTGTAGCCCTGTGACAGTGAGGATTGCTCCTCCAGACAGCAAGCTGATGCGCTCGTCAATGTGAGTATTACTGTGAGTTTGCCTGTGAGTGTTTATGGGCATATGCACAGGTATGTGCAGTTAGCCTCTTGGGGGCCAGAAGAGGGTCTTGGATCTCTGCTATTCTCCACACCCTCCTTTGAGACAAAATTTCTTCCTGAATCGAACTCCTGTTTTCTCAGCTAGTCTGGAAGCCAGCCAGCTCCAGTGACCCTCCTGCCTCTACCCACCTGGGAGTTAGAGGGGTGCATGCGATGCCTGGCTTGTTACATGGGTGCTGGGATCTGAACTTCATGCCTCCTTGAGCAGCAAGTGCTCTTTAGTCCCTGAGTCAACTCTTACTGCCCCCCCACCGCCAGCTCATGTTCTTAGTCATAGACTAGGGTGGCCTGGAACTCATTATGTAGCCCAGGCTGGCCTTAAACTCAGGATGAACCTACTGTCCCTGCCTTCTCAGTGCTGGCATGGCATAACAGGTATGAGCCACCATGCCTGGCTTACTAATACTGGTAGTTGCATTGATTGGCTTTCACTTGTTAGCTTCTGGTTTGTAATGAGTCAGGTTTATGCTATGTGGCATGCTAGTTAAAATATCTTACTGTTAGAATCTTGTTTTTCATTATAGGCCAGAGCAGACACTCAACTCCACACTGTCCTCACCATCAAGTAATGCCCCAGACCCATGTGCAAAGGAGACAGTGCTGAGCGCCCTCAAAGAGAAGAAGAAAAGGACAGTGGAAGAAGACGACCAGCTATTCCTTGATGGCCAAGAAAACAAGAGAAGGTAGCAGGCACAGTAGAACACTAAATGGGCCACCCAGGTGGACTCTGGGGAACTTGTTCAACTATAGGTAATTTCCATAAAGGTACAGAGGCCAGCTCCAGTGTTGTGAGCCTTTACAGGGCCCCCTCTTTAACTCTCAAAACAGTTTGGTCTTTAATAGTGTTCACTTCTTAAGACACAGATTAGGTAAATTTCAATCCTCGTGTACTTACGATCTTTACCTTAGAGATTATAGAAGATTTACCTGTGTGAGCCTCCTACTTTCCCTCTAGGATTCTGAGACAGGTTGTTAAACTGTGTACCCCTAGCTTGAACTCACAGTTCTTCTGCCTACTAGTGCTGGGATCATAAGCTGTATGGCCATACTCATCAGCCATCTTCCTTTAATGCTGATTTGTTAAGTTTCAAGAGAGAATGCTCAGTCTTCCCTCTCACAGTTTAGGTAATAGTCTGTTGTTTAGGTAACTGAGAAGTTAAGTGTCATTACTGTTGCTGAAAGATACCTTTGTCCTAGAAAAGTAAGACAAAAGCATGGGAAGTATATTGGTGATGAGTAGAAACAATGCCTTAGGCTCCTGACTGCTGGGATTACAGGCATGCACCACCATGCCTGGCACTAGTTAGGGAGCTTTTAGTAAATGGCATGTGTATTTAAGTAATGGAGGAGGGTAAAAGGAATTAGATATGCAGCTAGGGAGCAGTTTGGGCTGATCCCACATAGCTAAGCAGGCGTGGCAGAGGACAGGGAGGTAGGAAGGGACATATGGATGGCATCCACTCTTGTCCAGGTAGGTTTCTCATGTTCTCCAGAGTGGTCATTGTCTTGGCCCTGGTGCTCCTAGAGATGAGGGTTCAGTATTCTCCTTCCCATAATTGAAGTGAGTGATCACAGGCACTATGGGCACTCTCAGTGTAACAGACAGAGATTTTCCTAATACTCCATACCTCAACCTCCTGAGCACTGGATGTGTGGACTGCTCCCTACAGTCTCACTAAATTTATGATTGTGATACTTCATGTGAAGTCAGCCACTAAAAACTGACACACCTGCCCGGCATGGTGGTAGGCACCTGTCACCCCAGCACTCCGAATGCTGAGCCAGGAGCCAAAAGGATTGCAACTTCAAGGGGTCCTGAGGATACATAGTGAGTTCCAGCAATTTGTGAAGAATAGCAAGAATTTGAAGGGTTTTTTTTCCCTTAAGATGTGTTTGAATCATTGAGACAGCCTTAGGACACATTTTGTTCTCTTTATTACCAGGATATTTCATATTAATATACTCAGAGGCTTGTGATTTGAAACTACCATTTTAAAATATTTATGTCTGTATACTTGAGTGTATGTGTGCATCATGTGCATGCAAGAGCCTGCAGAGGCCAAAGAGAGTGTTAGATCCCCTGGAACTGTAGTTACATGTGGTTGTATGCCATGTGGGAGCTGGAACTGAACCCTGGTCCTCTGTTAGAGCAGCAAGTGCTCTTAACCACTGAGCCGTCTTTCTAGTCCCTTGGAGAAACTCTTGTCTAGCATAGAACTTATACTCTGTAGAGGTCATACAAGATCCCAGGAATAAGAAGAAAGTCTTTAAAATATTTTACATATGTTTATTTATGGGTGGTGGCTTGCACATGGAGGTTGGAGGACAACTTGTGGGAGTTAATTCTCAGTTTTGGATTCTGGGGATCTCTGGGGTGGAACACAGCAGCAGTCTTGGCAGCAAGTACTTTTTACCTGCTGAGCCATTTCACTGGCCCAGCAAATGGTTGGGAGCGGCACAGGCATGATGTTTTATTGTGGAATTTTGGTTTTTCACAGGCGCCATGATAGCAGTGGGAGCGGGCATTCAGCATTTGAGCCCCTTGTGGCCAACGGAGTTCCTGCTGCTTTTGTGCCTAAGTAAGTAGAATACTTCAGAATGAAATATTACATGTTTGGGAAAAGGGTGTTTTGGCAGCTGTTGCCCTTTCCGTTTTCCTCTTTGCTTTTTGTATTGTGTAATTAGTCTAAGTTCAGATCCTTAGAACCAGGAGGACCATTTTGACTTAACTTGCCATGGTTAAATATTTTATGTCCAATTTCTTTTTGTGTTTTTTCCATTAGTAAGAGTGAAATATACTGAGAGTTTGTATTTGATGACTTGTATTAAGTTAATATGTTTGATCCTTCACAGAAGAATCACAAAGCTTATGTAATATGTAAAATGTACTAATACCAAATTGAGGATAAAAATTGACTTTAAAAAATATGTTGGAGGGGGCTGGAGAGATGGCTCAGCAGTTAAGAGCACTGACTGCTCTTGCAGAGGACCTAGGTTTGATTCCCAGCATCCACATGGCATCTACGAACCATCCTAAACTCCAGTTCCAGAGAAATCCAAAACCCTCTTCTGTCCTCCACAGCATTGCACGACACAAGTCTCACACAGGCAATACACTCATACACATACATAAAACAAAAATAAATAAAATATTTAAAAAAAAAATATGTGGGAGAAAGAGTTGGATGAAAGAGAAAGAGGTTCCCCTATGGTGAAAAAGCTTAGGGTAGTTTATATCCTGCAGTCAGCAGCGTGATATGGCCCTGACAAAGTCACTGTGTTCCCCTTGGGACCATTCGAAGAGAGTCAGGGTGAGTATGTGAGTGTCAGTGCTGGGACTGTTCGTGCATCCAGCCTTGCCGTCAGTTCACTGTACTGTACTACAAGAGACGTGCACACACACTGGACACCAAGATGTTATGGGGATTTGAAATAGGCCTAGGGATGATAGTGGACGGTGAGGTTTTGAAAGTTCTGACCTAGAGGAGTCTCAGGGGAAATATATCAGGGAACTAGCTATGGTAATGGTCCTCTGAAAAGTAAAAGACTGTTGCATAAAAGAAGCAAAATTAACTGGCTAGTTTTGGCCCCTGACAGGATCATAGGTGAAAGGAAATACATTTTAAAGCAGCATAAGACTGAATTGGTTTATGGTTGATGTGGATCTCTCTGGAAGATACTGAGAAGGCCATAGTGTAGCAGACCTGGGTGATGTTGGCCCACAGAAAGACTACAGGGGATTTCCATTTGGGTTGGAGGTGGAGGAATGGTGCTTGGTATATTAGTAACTTTTCTGTTGCTGTGATAAAACACCATGACTAAAAGCATCTCATGGAAGAAAGTTTACAGTTATAGCGGGAGAGTCCACGATGGCAGGGAGGCATGGCAACAGGTGGCAGGAGTAGGAAGTTGAGAGGTTGCATCTTCAGCTACGCAGAGAGCAGACTGCAAGTGGAGTGAGGCTATGAACTTAAAGCCCACTCCCTGTGACACTGCCTCCAGCAGGGCTGCACCTCCTCAAGGTTCCATAACTTTCCCAAACAGCTCCACCTGTGGGGGACATTTCTTATTTAAACTACCACATTGATTCCTCTTAACACTGGTTTTCTTTGAACAACTTTATTGGGTTATCACTGACAGTGAAGTGTAAAATATATTACGTTTTGCCGTGTTTTACCCCTGTGAAGCCATTCACATTTACCTCTAAAATCTCTCTCTGGTCTCTGCCATCCACTGGTCTGCTCTCTGTCATGGTAGACCGCCATGCACTTTAGAATATTCTAGAAATAGAGTCACATTTAAGTTTTCAGCATTGGTCTTTCTCCACTGACTCAGGTACAGTCATGTCATCAATAGTGCACCTGCAGAGCACTGATGTCTGTCTTCAGGTTTATTCAGAAAGGTGTCAGAACCACAGAGAGAACCTTGGAAGAGTTTTAGTAATTCTTGTCACCCTCAGTAACACATCCATTTTTCTCCTTTGGTCAGGCCTGGCTCTCTGAAGAGAGGCCTGGCTTCCCAGAACTCAGAAGACCACTTGAACAAGCGTTCTCGCACCTCCTCTGTGAGCTCCCTGACCAGCACATGCACAGGAGGCATCCCTAGCTCCAGCCGCAATGCTATCACCAGCTCCTACAGCTCCACCCGTGGCATCTCGCAGGTATGTCTCGGCACGAGCAAATGATGTACACCCTGTTCTGTTGTTGTATACTGGGGCTGTCTTGAAGCTAGCAGAAAACAAAGCCATAAATAGCAAATAAAATAAAACCCAGGCTAGTAGGACTGAACAGAAAGCAAACTGGTACAAGTGGAGCTATTGCTGCAGGTAATCAGGGAAGAGCAGCACAGTAAATGGGGCGATGTACTTGGGAAAGTCGATTTCAGTCAGGGTTGCTTTGAGCTGTAGAAGAAACTTGTCTTATAGGCAGTTAGAATTTCATGCGAAGTTTTTAAACATAAAGTACTTAGCATTCTTGTTTAGAAAGGAGAGTGTAGTATCCACAGGGTAGGAAAGCAAGACAGCTTTGCTGTTGGGCACATCTTGGCATTGACATTTTGTAGCTTGGAGGATCTTTGGCAGGTCAACCAAGCAAACTATTGAAGGCAGTGCGTTTTGTCAAGAGTGAGCACTCCGTAGTGGCTCTTGAATGTGTGTTCTCTTCCACAATGTTTTCTCATCTTTAATCTTTTAAAAATTTTATTTCTTTTTTTTATTGTGGTCTTTTTCTTTTTTTGGTCTTTTTGAGACAAGGTTTCCTGTAGCCGCAGCTGGCCTGGGTTCGCTAATGGAGACCTGGCTGGCCTCGAACTCACAGAGATCCGCCTGCCTCTGCCTCCCGAGTGCTGGGATTAACTGCATGTGCCACCATGCCCAGCTTATTGTGGTCTTTTTGAGATAGGGTCTCTGTGTAGCCCCAGTAGACCTGGAACTCACTGTTTCCAGACCAGGCTGGCCTTGAACTCAGAGATCCGCCTGCTTCTGCTTCCCGATAGCTAGGATTAAAGACATGCGCCACTGCACCTGGCTATTGGTTTTTTGTTTTGTTTTTGAGACAGGGTCTCACGTGTCCCTGGCTAGCCTGAAACTGTGTAACTTAGGCTAACTGTACTTGGGGACTTCCTGCCTTTGCCTCCCAAGTGCCGGGATTTCAGGCTTGCACCACCACACAAAACTCACAGTCTTCCTCATTTGATTTTTGTGTTTTTTTTGAAACAGGGTCTCACTATGTAGCCCTAGCTATCAGCAATATACAGTTAATTCTGATAGAGTACTAGAATGTGCAATAATAGGGGATGTACATTTTACTGTAGGTTATCCTTATTGGAACCTGTAATGTGTATGAATATTACCTTCCTTGGTTTCAAAATTTTTAATTACTGTTTTTTATATCTGCGTATACCTGCCTGCATGAGAGCTTCAGGTAGTTGTGAGCTGCCTGATGTAGGTGCTAGGAACTAAACTCAGGTCATCTGCAAAAGCAGTATGTACTTTTACCCACTGATCCATCTCTAGACTCTCAGAAAAAAATTTTGCGTATAGATAACACATATTTGCAAGTATAGATAACTGAAAGTAAAATTCCTACTATCCCACATGTTCCATTGGCATGTGTATATACAGCCATGTGTTGCTTAGTGAGAATGTGTTGTGAGTTCATCATGAGACACTGGCATTTTACTCTTAGGTATATTCTTGCTATATCTTTAAAATCTGTCTTGCTGTTGTGTAAAAACACAAGTAATTATGTATTCAGAGAATTTCTAGATTCTGGCTGTTTAGAACTCTATCATCAGTTGTGTCACTCTGCTTGACTTGCAGCTGTGGAAGAGGAGTGGCCCCACATCATCTCCCTTCTCCAGTCCAGCCTCCTCCCGCTCCCAGACACCAGAGAGGCCAGCCAAGAAAACAAGGTAGTCACAATTCTTTGGTTACTATCTGCTGTGTGGACAAAGGAGAGGGAGGACAGGGGACTTGGCTCTTGGTCTTTGTGTGACTGACTCAGCGGGTCCAAGAACTGAAGGTAAAAGGGCCTCAAGTGCCCACTGGAGTTGCTTCCCTATGCTGTAGGCTGATTGAACACACTGAGGCCACTTTTCCATCTCATATGCCAGTGGGAGTGGGCAAGGCCACTGGGGGTGGAGTGCAGAGTGGACTGGCCAGCAGGAAGCCTAAGTCCTTAGGTGCCTACCTGCTACTCAGCTTTTCTTTTTACCACAGAGGCCATGGGGCCTGTTTCCTTGCCAACCTCCTTCCCAGCTCCCAGTGCTAACCCACTGTTAGAAAGCTTGAAGAAGATGCAGATTCCTGGGCCCCTGGACTTGGCAGGTTCTGTGTAAGACTGTGAGGATTCCTGTTCTGTGGTTGATTAAAGACAGGTTTCTTGCCGGGCGTGGTGGCACATGCCTTTAATCCTAGGATTTGGGAGGCAGAGGCAGGCTGATCTCTGCAAGTTCAAGGCCAGCCTGATCTACATAGTGAGTTCCAGGACAGCTGGGGCTACAGGGAGACCCTGTCTCAAAAAAAAAGACAGGTTTCTCGTGGTCTTTGTCAGCTGCCTACCTTTGCTTCTATGAGAAATTTCTTTTGAGGCTTTTATTGTGACATAAGACCTAGAGTCCTGGTTGTTGTAGACTTTGGCCAGTTTTGGTAGTTAGGTGCCACCCAGCACACCCAGGAAGTCTTCCCAGGCTAAATGCAGCTTTTTCACAATCCCTGTAGAGAGGAGGAGCCATGCCAGCCTTCCAGCTCTTCAGCTCCCCTGGTGACAGACAAAGAGTCCCAAGGAGAAAAGGGTAAGCAGTGGGGCTGCCAGGGCTGGGGAGCCAGTGTCTACAGAACAAGTACAGGTTGACTCCATGGGGAGTGGGTAGAGCAGTGCTCTGTCTAGGGCATGGATGATAGAGTTCCTATCGTTCAGAGGTCCATGGTGTGGGAAAGGAGATTGGTCCAGTGCAGCATGTGAGGACTGGCTGGAGAAGCTCAAAGTGGGGCCAGCCCAGTCCGTGGTCTTGTGTGTCTTTGAAACAACCCAGGCCATGCAGCCAAGGGAAGAGAATCTTTTCCAAGAAAACCATCCTGTTCTGGAGGAGGCAATACAGCCAGCAAACCTGTATTTCTCTCTGTAGTTGCAGATACAACACCCCGGAAGCAGCAGAGTTCATGGACTTCTCCATCCACGCCTGGCAGCTCTGGGCAGCGCAAACGCAAGATTCAACTGCTGCCCACACGGCGAGGGGACCAGCTAACCCTGGTATGTCTTGTCAGTCAGTCTTCCTTGGCTCACCAAGACTCAGGAAGTCTAGGAGCAGGTTTCTCCAGCTTCTGGGGGCCAGTGTGACCTGTCACTCTTGTCTCTGGCAGCCTCCTCCCCCCGAGCTTGGCTATTCCATCACTGCCGAGGACCTGGAGATGGAGAGGAAAGCCTCACTGCAGTGGTTTAACAAAGTCTTGGAGGACAAGATTGGTAAGGAATACGAGCAGGCATGCTCCAGAGAGGTTGCAGCCTTAGTTTCTTTTAGTCTTATTTTAGAGGGTTACCTTGGAAGAGGATTCTAGAGTACCTTTGTTTTTTCTTGTTTAATTTGCGATTCTCACTATGTTGCCCAAGGTAGCTTCAAACTCATGATCTTCCTGCTTCAGCCTCCCAAGTGCTGCAAGTGCTGTATTTTAGATGTGTACCACCATAACCACCTCTTGAATCCTTTTTGAGACAGCTCTCACTATGTAGCCTTGGCTAGTCTAGAACTCACAGATCTGCCTGCCTCTGCTGAGTACTGGAATTAAAAGTCTGTACCTTGCCCAGCTTGTTTTTTAAAACAGGGTATTTCTACTTAAACCAAGCTGACCTCAAGCCTACAATCCTCCTGCCTCAGCCTCCTGAGTACTGGATTACAGGCCAAGTGCCACTACTTCTGCCTGCCTTTGTTCTTTCTCCTGGGAAATCTGCTTAGTCTTCACTGAGCTAGTCTAGTTGAGTGTTGAGGTTAGGGGGATGCATTTCTAAGTGAGTGTTCTGGGCTCTGAGCTTCCTGTATCTTTGGGAAAAAAAAAAAACCCATGAGAGAATCTTGTCTCCTCAGATGCTGCCTCTACCTCAGTCTCTGAAACCCCACCCACCATCCAGAGTGTTCTGGGCTCTGAGCTTCCTGTATCTTTGGGAAAAAAAAAAAAAACCCATGAGAGAATCTTGTCTCCTCAGATGCTGCCTCTACCTCAGTCTCTGAAACCCCACCCACCATCCAGCCTTCCTTTACTTTCACTCTGCCTGCTGCGGGGCCTGCTCCCTCACCAGCTCCCAGCCCTAACCCACTGTTAGAAAGCTTGAAGAAGATGCAGGACTCTCCAGCCCCGCCCTCCTCAGGTAAGCAGGGCATCCATGAGAGAATCTTGTCTCCTCAGATGCTGCCTCTACCTCAGTCTCTGAAACCCCACCCACCATCCAGCCTTCCTTTACTTTCACTCTGCCTGCTGCGGGGCCTGCTCCCTCACCAGCTCCCAGCCCTAACCCACTGTTAGAAAGCTTGAAGAAGATGCAGGACTCTCCAGCCCCGCCCTCCTCAGGTAAGCAGGGCATCCTGGAGTGCAGGCCAGCCTCCACACTGATACCAAGCCTTTGCCATGAAGGAAACATGACCTCTCAGTGTTGGCCTTCAGAATTCCCTCCTTGGGAACTTTGTTGGAAGGGGGGCTGCCACATTGAGAGCTGGTTTTAGGATCATGGTTTGAAGCCAACTGCCTTAGCTACTTACCATTGTCATCTATAAAATGAGAACAGAGGTATCTGTAGTGTGTTCTGGTGATCCCCTTAAGGTGTCTTGAACTTCCTGGATCCCAGGCCTAACATAGCCCAAGTCTCTCCCCTTGGGTAAGGCTGGTTGGCATTGCAAGCTGATGCCTTCGCTGTAGTGCTGAGACAGGGGAGTGTGTGTGGTATTGCATCTGCCTAGGGCTCGTGCAGATGCTACCTAACTTGTGGCTGCTACTCTACTCTGCTTTGTGGGGTGGGTGAACATGATGGGTCTTTGTTAGATGAACAGGCACGTCTAGGCAAGGTAGACTTCAGCATTGCACTGATGACCTTCATGACCGTGCATGCAGTCCCGGTTCCTCCGTTCTGCTTTTCCTGGGATCTGTGGGAATAGAAATAAGAGCTCCTTCTTGAGTCCCTGGCATAGTGGCAGGCGCTAGAGTATGCAAGCATGCCCAGTGCCATCCACAGAAGTCCCCTCACTTCCTCTTCTTCCCAGAACCCGCTGAGGCAGCAACCACCACTGCTGCCCCTTCACCTCTGAAGACACCCAGCCTCTTGGCCTCTCTTGGCTCACCATCAACTGGGCCCCTGCCAGCCACATCGTCGGATACCAAACCCACAGCCGCCTCCCTTGGCCTGGCCCAGACTTCATCGCCAACACCACTCACTGACACCAAGTCCCCTGCAGCTCCACAGGCTGAACCATCTGTCAGCACCCCAGCATCCAAGGCCCCCTCCCCAACTCCAAAGCCCAGCATGCTCTTTGGCATGCTAAGTCCACCTGCCAGCATTTCCTCCCCCACCACTCCCAGCACAACTACTGCTTCTCCCATGTTCAAGCCCATTTTTCTGGCCACACCTAAAAGCGAGAGTGTCAGCCCCTTGCCAGCCAGCTCCTCTGCCACCACTGCAGCCTCATCCAGCACCACCCTCCCCACGACAGCCAGCAGCACAGCCCCCACTTTCAAGCCCATCTTTGGCAGCTTGGGGCCCCCTCCAGCCATGCCCATCGTAGCTGCCTTCTCCCTGAAGACAACTGCCACAGCCACAACTGCAGCCACATCGGCCCCACTCTTCACTGGCCTGTGCACTGCCACCTCCACAGTGGCTTCTGGTACCACAGCCTCTGCCTCAAAGCCCATCTTCGGCTTTGGGGTGAACACTGTGGCCAGCACCTCAAGCAGCACCACCATGACTTCGGCCTCCCAACCACTCCTCTTCGGGGGAGCCCCCCCTGCCACTGCTGCCAGTTCCACCCCGGCTTTGGCTTCCATCTTCCAGTTCGGCAGGCCCCCAGCCCCAGCAGCATCTGCAGCAGGCACCTCCTTCGGCCAGCCCCTGGCCAGCACTGCCCAGACAGCCACCAGCAGCAGCAGTGGCACTGCTGGCTTCAGTGGCTTTGGCAGCACCCTCACCACCTCCACTTCTGCGCCCACCACCAGCAGCCAGCCCACTCTGACTTTCAGCAGCACTGTCACCCCCACCTTCAACATTCCATTTGGCTCCAGCGCCAAGGCTGCACTCCCACCCTTTGGAGGCACTAGCTCCCAACCCACCTTTGGAGCCACTGAGGGGCCACAGCAGGGGGTCACCAAGCCAGCAGTTGCCCCAAGCTTTGGCAGCTCTTTCACTTTTGGCAGCTCTGTGGCCTCAGCCCCATCAGCAGCCCCAACATCAGCCACCTTTGGCAGCGCTGCACAATCTGTTTTCGGGGGTTTGAAAGCCACAGTCTCCACTTTTGGCACCCCTGCCAGCACACAGCCAGCCTTTGGCAGCACCACATCCCTTTTCTCCTTTGGTGCAGCCACCACCTCTGGCTTTGGTGCCACCACGCAGACCACCAGCAATGGGACCAGCAGCTCTGTGTTTGGCAGCTCGGCTCCTTCCCCATTCACATTTGGGGGCTCAGCAGCCCCAGCTGGCAGTGGGGGCTTTGGGCTCAGTGCAGCCACCCCTGGTACCAGTTCCACCTCTGGAACTTTCAGCTTTGGAGCTGGACAGAGCGGGACCACAGGCACCACCACCCCCTTTGGGGGAGGCTTAAGTCAGAATACCCTGGGCACACCCAGCCAGACCTCGCACTTCGCCTTCAATGTAGGCAGCACACCTGAGAGCAAGCCTGTATTTGGAGGTAAGATGGGGAGCAGTGTGGCTGGCTGGGCTCCCCCCTGCGTTAAGGGATAGCACTCAACAGTAAGTTAATGCCCGGTGGCAATGCAAGCTGATGATGAGAGGACCTCTCACATATATAAGTGGTCAAGAAAGGTCTTTCTGAAAATAATGGATGGAAGGTAAGAATGTGGGATGTATGTGGGAGTGTGTACAGCTATACCCAGCTGCTGCTGCTATATGTATTTTGGGGGGGAGGGGGATGACGACAAGGTTTCACTACTTAACACTGGCTGTTAAGTAGTGGTTCAAAGCCTGCCTCTGCCTCCTCAGTCCTGTAATTAAAGGAATGCACCACCACACTTCAACATTTTTTTTAAGAACACGGTTGCTGGGGATCTAAGCTCCTCAGGTTCTCATGCTTGCACAACAAGCACTTTTACTTCAGACCATCTCCCCAGCATTTGTTTTATTGTGTGTGTGTGTAGGCATGCATGCTATGGTGTATATCAGAGGACAACTTTGTAGAGCTGGTTCTCTCCACCCTTACTTGGGTTCTGGGAATTGAACTCAGATCACTGCTTGTGCAGTAAGTGCTTTTACTCCCTGAACTGTCTCACTGGCTCTTCGTTTAACTCAAGATCGTCCTATTTCAGCCTCTCAAGTGCTTGAATGATGGGTGTGCATTGTGGGAAGTGGGGAAGGGCAGTGCCAGGGCCCAGCAGCAGAAGTGGTTCATGACGTCAGGTTGGCAGGAGGTTATAAGGCAGACAGTAGTGGTATACTTCATAGCCAGGGAATAGTGTTTGGATTTTTAAGTATCCAAGGAAGTCATGTTAGAATTCCAAGCATATGGGTGAAGGGGCCTTATTTGCTGTATACAGGGTGAATTTTGGTCCTGAGAACTGACTTCCTGGGTAAATAGGAGAGAAGCCCTTGGTGGGGGGGGGGGGGGGGAAGTAACACCAGTGAAAAGGTAGGTGAGTCAGCTTACACAGTGAGAAAAAGAATGTAATATAAGAAAGTGTACAAATTGCCAGGGGGCTTGTGGATAGAGAATATGGCCATGAATTTCAAGCAGCAGCCTCTGAAATGAGCAGGTAGATGCTGGGTATGGCAGCATGCCCTGTAGCCTCACCACTGGGGTATGCAGATGGGTGGATCCCAAGGACTAGCAGGCCAGCCTATTTAAAGTGACAAGTTCCAAGCCATTGAGACCCTGGAAAAAGTAGAGAAGCAATTGAAGATACCCAATGTCAGCCTTTGACTTCTCACACATACAATAGAGGGAAACATCGAACATGGGGCACTGAAGGATCGAGACTCCCTCACAGGCGATGAAGTCACCAAGAATTGCCTGGAGGGTGATGGGTCCTTGGTGACAGAAGGAGTGACTAATAAGTGACACTGCAAAGGACCAGGACTGGTGTAAGAGCCTGGTGATCTGAACATTCTAGGAGTTGGGCCTGGCGTGGTAGTACATACCTGTCATTCCAGCACTTGGGACAGGCAGGAAGAATGGAGAGTTCCAGTTCAGCCTGTGGGTTTCTGAGGAAACCCACCTCAGAAATACCAAAACAAAAAGGATTTGGGTGTTTGGGGAGAAGGGCCCCACGTGGGCAGAGCAGTTGTTTAGGGGGCATCCTGGGCAGGTCAGACCCACAGGGTGGGTGGTGGTTGTGGTGGGGACACAAACAGGAAGAGGAGGCATGACAGTGCTAAACCTATGTGATGTGGGGAGGCTGAGGGATGGGATGGCAGAGGCCAGCTTAGTTGGGGGGGGGGGTTGGCTCAGTCTCCACAGCATGCTGCTGTCTCTCCCCTCTAGGCACATCCACACCCACTTTTGGGCAAGGCACCCCTGCCCCTGGAGTGGGCACCGCGGGCAGCAGCCTCTCCTTTGGGACCTCCTCAACACCCACCCAAGGCTTTGTTGGAGTTGGGCCTTTCGGTAAGCAGCCAGTCTCTAGCTAGCATGACGCCTTTGTCCGTTAGCTGAGGAGGGATGGGGGTGAGGTTGCTCCTCTAAGCATCCTAGGTATTGGACAGCAGTTGAGCCTTCTCAGGTGACCAGGCATTTGGGAAGGCACAATGAACATGGGCTTCCCTGGGATTTTGCTTTTTGATGGCTTCTGCCAAGGGTTTGCCAACAGTTTAGGAAGCCCTGCTGGAGCCCCATGCTCCTGCTGCTGGAGTGAGGCACCAGGCACATTTTCTCTGGCAGCAGCTGCCCTGATGCGGTCTTGTCCACTCTTTTTCCAGGCTCAACAGCACCTTCATTTTCCATTGGCGCGGGATCCAAAACCCCAGGGGCTCGCCAGCGGCTGCAGGCCCGAAGACAGCATACCCGCAAGAAGTAGCCTGCCTCCTATCCTGTCCCCACCTTGCCTGAACCTGGACCTCAGCCTGCTAGGAAGAGCCTCAACCCTTGAATTCCATAACAAACCCAGCCCATCACCAGGGCAGAAGGTGGTCTGATCCTCCCAGAGGAAGCAGGCGCCCCAGGGAGGGGCAGAAGCCCAATACCTTTACTTGAACAGCACATGGTGAGGCTGGAGAACTAAACATCTGTACATATCGTCCTCTCGCTTCACTGGCGCTTATTTAGTGTATAACCTAGGCAACCTCCCTTTTCCTTGAGCACCATCTTTGCCAGAGGATCCTGGTGTGCATCGGATGGGACTGGGGAACGCATGTCCCTGAGCTTTACCTGTTTGGCTTGCCCATGACAAGTGGTCTCTTCCTTGACTCCTTCAGGGACTCTTTCCCCATTACTTGCTGCTTTTTCACCCGTGGTCCTCTACAAAGCTTAACCCTTTCTACATGACATGAAATCTTGCTTTGCCTTGGAGACTCAAATGGGCATTGTGTCGCCCCTTCCTGCCAAGTTTACGTGTTTCATCTCCGGCTCCTCTACCAGTCCAGCCTCTGAAGGTTGGTGGCTAAAGACCATTAGGCTGGCAGAGCCAGGGGAGACCTTTGCTCCAGGAGGAGTCCCAGGGTAGGCAGAACAACCTGCCACCGCTTCTAGCTGCCTCTTCACTGGCCCACCACCCCACGGGTCATTTTGCCTCTCCGGGATTGTATGTTCCAAACCTTGTCCTGTGTTTGTCTGATGCTCACGTGTTGCTCTTTGAATCGAGTTTGGAGGAAGAATTGAATTGTATGTGTGGCGGCATGTTAGTAATGCCGGACTTAATGTCTCAAGCCTCCTGGGCCTGAATAATTGAATGCGAAAAGTGGCACCGCGTGACAGCCATAGCGCTGACTCCTGAATTCTCAATGTTTTGACTTTTAAGGGTTGGCAGCCCAAGAGACGGCCTGGGGGAACAGAGACCTCTTACCTCCATTGCTCCCCACCCATTTACTTCCCCCTAACCCAGGTGCAAGCATTCCCTGCCTCTTAGGAGACCTAGATTAAGTGAGCATACTTGAGGTTCCTTAGCTGTGTCAAACAGGGCCCTCTCAACCTGTCCCTTCATCTCCTTCCAGAAATACACCCTCAGGCCCCAGACTGGCTGCCATGCCGTCTCTTTGGGAAAAGTATGAATGCGTGTGTCTAAATTAAAAGAAAAAAATATTTAAACATTTTTTAACAAAATAAAAATTTATTTTTGTATTTAAGCTAAATTGCCTTTTAAATTCCTTCAAGCTTGGTTCACTGAGGTGGTTAAGTATAAATGCTGTTGAACAGTAGGGGTTAGTTATATAGTTAAGTTATGCCTGTGTGAAGGAGGGGTTTAAGTCTGTCCCCGAAGCTTTCCTGAGGGGCAGCGCTCCTTCTGGATGCATTGTATAAACGTGATTTCTTATTTTATAAACAATGTGATGTAGCTGTAAGCGATCCCTCCCTTTGTGACTGGGGTTGTATGTTTCGTGGCAGGGTTAGGCTGGGCCTGGTGGAGCCAAGGAAGTAGCTGGACCTCACCTCATGTCCCACATACCTGTGATGGGGCAGGTGGGATCTAGACCCAAAGTTTCCACCCATGCCAAGGGGAGGGCCTCTGCTCAGTCTGTGCTCATTACCTCAGCTCCACAACAGGCCAGTGTCCAGGGCCCCTGATGGTGTTCTGGCAGAGCCTTGGTGTGTGGGCACGTCAGTCCCTGCTCGTGCTGGACAGGGACGGGGGGCTGGGGCTTCAAGCCACAGACTTGAGTCCCTGTGAGTCCAGCTGGGATTTTTAGTATGAATGTGAGATTGTTCTTGCTTATGTCATTAAGAATAAAACTGTGATCTGTCATAGATCTGCATCTGCCTTTTATTTGTGAGGTGAACAACTCTGCTAGTGGATCTGTCCAGTAAAGGACCCACAGGCCCAGGCCATCTACTTTGCTTTTCCCCTGCAGGAAGGTGTGGCTGCAGGGCCCACTACATGCCTGGCTACGTGCTGGTACCAGCTGCTTTGCACCGTCTCTTTCTCTTTAGGGCTGGGTTGGGAGCAGGTTCAGATGTCAGTGCTTCAGCCTGAGGAACTGGGCTGGGAGAAAAGGCCAGGTTTGTGGAGCCCCAGGCACCCAGCACCTCCTTAGCATGCCCAACTCTCTCCTCACTTACCTTGGCATCTCAACCCGTTCAAACACAGCAATGAAAAAGCCACAAGTGAATGTGGTCTCAGGGGAGGCCCGGAGGCAGTGTTCAGCCCCTGGAAATGTGCTAAGACCTCGGTGGGGCCAGGAAGGTAGGACAGGGACCAACCTGTGGGGAGAGTGGGCTCAGACCCCAGTAAAGAAGCAGCCTGTGACCCCTCAGATCCTGGGGATACCATTACCTGAAGGCCCCTGAGCTCTGCTGCAGAGCCTTGGAGACCACATCTTCATTCTCCTCTTGGCAAAGGGAACATGTGGAGTAAACAAGGCGCTGCAGAGAGGGGAAGGTAAGTGCATGGCACAGGGCACGCTGCTGGAACCCCGCCAGGGCATGTAAGCGCTCCTTGCTAGGTGTGCATCCCCCTTGCTCCTCCAGCTGCCGGCTCAGCATTCCTATGGAAAAGACCTGGAATTACAAAGCTATTTCCCACTGAAACCCCCACTTCATAAATGAGAACATTTACTTGTGGTCAATAGACCACAAGCAAATCACAACTAAGACTAAGATGAATTAGTAGCCTTCAGGCGACACACTAGGACCAGGGCCACACTACCCCCGCTTCTCACCAGAGCCACTACAAGAAGGATCCAGCAAGATGTACTGGACCTGGCTGTACCGCTGGTCAGAGGGAGAAATGGTCAGGAAATCCTTCTCAGCTAACTCACAGCAGGAGACCCCAGCTCGGGCCAACAGTGTAGCCATGGCTGCCAGTCGCTTGGCATCCTGGTCAAAAGCAAAGATCTTCCTAAGGAAGAGGGCAGAGGCAGGAGAAACTGAGAAGACAGACCACAATTATGACACAACAAGCTGTAACATGTATACTAAACCAGGACAACAGGATAGGTGTGGCTCAGTAGTACAGCGCTTACTTAGGATCCCTCAGTGAGAGGCTGGGGGCGTGGCTCAGTGGTAGAGTACCTGCCTGGTATATACAAAGTCTTGGGTAAAACTCCTAGTACTGCTGGGCAGAGGCAGGCATATCTGAGACTGAGGCCAGTCTGGTCTGTGTAGTGAGTTCCAGGCCAGCTGGGGTACAGGGAATGGCCTATCACAAAGAAACAAAAAACAAGCAAAAAAACCCCCAGTCCTGTACTAAAAAATTTCTACAAAGCACAAGCTCTGATACCACCCCTCCCTCTGCCTCAGGCCAGCACTCACCCCTGGTTTTTCAGAAGAGCTGCCACATAACTCGTCTTATTGCCAGGAGCAGCACAGGCATCAATGACGTGGGAGCCTGGTGGAGGAGCTAGTAGCATGGCTGGCAGGCAGCTAGCCTGGTAGGGCAGAGAGCAACAGGCAGCCGAGTGAACACAGCTTGGCATTTTCTCATCCTTCTCTTCCCTTCCCCACCCATCCTCCCTACCTTATCCTGCAGGATGAGGTGGCCTGCACGATACAGTGGATGCTCATGAAGATCCGTCTGTGCAGGAAACACAAGCAGCTCAGGCAACAAGGGGTCCAGAAGAAAATGTTGCCCCTTGAGGGCCTGTAAGTCCTCCAGGCTGCCAGGGAGGAACCACTAGTTAGGTTTGTTTGTATCATTTAATTTTTTAATATATATATATGAGTATTTTGCTTACATGTATTTAAGTGCACCTGGGGTGTGCAATACCCATGGAGCCCCTGGAAGTGGAGTTACAAGTGGTTATCAGCACCATGTGGGTGCTGGGAACCAAACTAGGTCCTCTCAATCCTCCTACCTCAGCCTCCCCAGTACTGGGATAACAGATGTGAACCACCATGCCCTGCCTTAAAAAACAAGGTGGGGAGGGGGGTTTCTAGGAAAGGTGAGATGAAGTAAAAGCAACTGTTACACAAGCCTGAAGATCTGAGTTCAAACCCTGGAACCCAGGTAAAGGTGGAAAAAACCAACTCCTACAAGTTAGCTTCTGAAGGCCTCATATATACTGTGGCTTGTGTGCCCCCACACATCACACAGGACAACTAGAATTATGTTCAGTTGATATACTATTTTCATGACTTAACGCTGAAAATACAGTTCACAGGAACATGTAGTACAAAATCGTACAAGTATGTTTTAGGGTCATTTCAACAACAGCTGAAATCTGTCCTGATTCCACGCCAAAATCCATTGAACAAAGTTTTGTAGAACTCAACTTAGCAACTCAAATGTGGATTTTTTTTTAGGGGAGAGAGGATTTGTTGTTACCGAGGCAGATTCTCATTATGTTGCACTAGCTGGCCTGGAACTCACTATGTAGCCCAGGCTGGCCTTGATCTTAGAGATCTGCTTGCCTCTGCCTCCTGAGTGCTGAGATTAAAGGTATGTGCTACCACACCCAGTTGAAACACCAATTTTTATTCATTTATGTATTTATTTACAGTGTATGAGTGTTTTGTCTGCATGTATGTAAGTACACCCATGGGTGCAATGCCCACAGAGGCAAGAGAGCATTGGAGCTGAAATTATAGATGGTTGTTAGCTCCCATGTGGGTACTAGGAACCAAACCCGGCTAATATACACATAAAATAAAAATAATAAATATTTGGGGCTGGAGAGGTGGCTCAGCAGTTAAGAACACTGGTTTTCTTGCAGAAGACCTGGGTTCGAATCCCAGCACACACATGGCAGCTAACAGCTGTCCATAACTCCAGTCCCAGGGTATTGACAGCCTCTTCTGACCTTCATGGGCACTGTACAACATGGGTGCACTTATCTACATGCAGGCAATACACACACATAAAAATAAAATTTAAAAAATTATAATAAATATTTAAAATGAAACACAGGCAATACAGTCCAAAGGTATACTAACCTGATATACGCTGAGGAACTACAGAATATTTAGTCTTGTTTTCCATACTTAAGATGGTTAGATTTTTATAACAGCAAAAAACTTTGGCTAGATGTGGTACGCATGCATTTGATCCCAGTACTTGGGAGGCAGAGGCAGAGGTAGAGACCTGGTCTACATACAGAGTCCCAGGCCAGCTGGGACTACAGGGGACCTTGTCTCAAAAAAATAATAAACACAAACACACACACACACACACACACACACACACACACACACACAAAGAGTACAGTAAAAAAAAAAAAAAAATACTGGGAACTGACACCACATGCATGCAACGTGCTCAGAGCCAAGGCTACGGTGAAATTACTTGATGCAGCACAGACCAGCACTGCAGAAAACACCTCAGATTCATTATGTGCTTGATTCTGAATTAGTTTTTGGACATTGTATATTTAGAAAACTTCTATTGTTGCCACATTTTTTGACCTTCACATTCAGTTATGCAACCCATCGGGTGTTGACCACAGTTTAAGCAGCTGTGAAGAGCCAAGGCTACGGTGAAATTACTTGATGCAGCACAGACCAGCACTGCAGAAAACACCTCAGATTCATTATGTGCTTGATTCTGAATTAGTTTTTGGACATTGTATATTTAGAAAACTTCTATTGTTGCCACATTTTTTGACCTTCACATTCAGTTATGCAACCCATCGGGTGTTGACCACAGTTTAAGCAGCTGTGACCTAGACAGGAGAGGTAGAAGACAGCAGAGGTGGGAGAGCAGCTGGGTCTAGAGAACAAATGAGAGTCACCAGAAGAACACAGAACAAGACCCAGGAACAGCAGTGTTTAAGAGGTGGAACAGAGGTCTTGGAAGATGAAAAAAGTGATGGGGGTGGGCAAGCATGGTAGCACATGCCTTTAGTCCCAGCACTCAGGAGGCAGAGGCAGGCAGATCTTCGTGAGATTGGGCCAACCTGATCTGCATAGCAAGTTCCAGAAAAGTTGAGGCTATAGACTGTCTTAAAAGGATTGTTAGGGATGATGGGACTGAAGAGATGGCTCAGCAGTTAGGGGTGCGTACTCTTGGAGAGAACCAGAGTTTGATTCCCAGTCCCATGTTAGGCAGCTCACAACTGCCTGTTAACTCCACCTCTGAGGGATCTGACACCTGTTTCTGGCCTGCGCAGGCACCCACACTCACATGCACATACCCACAAGCAGAAACACACACACATAATTAAAAATAAAAAATTGTTGGGGCTGGAGAGATGGCTCAGGAGTTAAGAGTACCATCTGCTCTTGCAGAGGACCCAGGTTCAGTTCCCAGTACCCACATGACAGCAAACAACTGTCTGTAACTCCCATTCCAGGGGATCCAATGCCCTCTTCTGACCTCTGTGGACAACTGTATACATGCAGGCAAAACATAAGAAAAAAAAAATGTTAGCAGTCCTCACTCACCCCTCACCCCCAAGATCCCTGCTCCCCCAGTCATCTAGAGAAGTAAAAATTCACAGGCAGGATTCGAAGCTCTTACCCGGAAGCCCGACCCTGGTAGGAGAAACCTTGTCTCTTGAAATAATCAATTGCATCCTCAAGGCAGGTCTTGAGAGTGTTCACACGAACAAACCGTGGCACCTGGAAGGCTAGAAGCAATAGCAGTGAGTGGGCAGGGAAGCCAGCCCCTCCTGAGGTCCTGATGGCCATTCACCCTTCTCTCAGCCCCACCACTCTCTCCAGTTTACCTTGGCCAGGCCTGGATCCCTCCTCCAACAGATCTTCATTCCGGCTCACACCCCGATGAACCTTGAGCCGGGCCAACTCAGCCCTGAGCCTTGCCTGGTGCCGGCCCAGCAGAGCCTTCCATCGGCCCCCACCCCCTCGAAAGCCCTTTCCCAGCAGCAACTCATACACTAGCACCTAGACAGAGAAAAACAAGAACGCAACAATTTAGTATCAACAGCATAAAACTCTAGTGTTGGCAACCTATCCAAATGGTTGTGTCATGGATATTTCCTTGCTCAAGATCACCCAAGAAATTAACAGCAGAGCTGAGTGTAGTGGTAAAAACCGGTACTCTCAACTAGTCTAAGTTCAAGATCAACCTGAGCTACCTGGCCAGTTTTAAGGCCTGCTTGCGCAACATAGCAAGACCTTGTCTCAAAATACATAAAATGGGCTGGCGTTGTAACTCAGTAGGTAGAGCACTTGCCTAGTGGGGTTGTGGCTCGATGGTAGAGCACCTGCCCGGAATCCCCCAGTGAGGGGCTGGGGGCATGGCTTGGTGGTAGTGCTCTTCCCTACCAAACTGGAGGCCCTAAATTCAATCCCCAGTGTGTGTCTGTCTGTCTGTCTCTCTCTCCCCACACCCACAGAAAGATTCAAACCTAGAATCTGGTATCCTGCTCCCTGCCCTGTACCTTCTCCCCAGAAGAGCTCTGAAACCCAACTTCCCCGGCCAGCATCACCCTTTCCTTTAGGTATCCTCTGGCCACTGTACTTTGCTCGTCGTTCCTATTTAACTTCTCACACAATGCTCTAAGCGGAGGCCCGTTTGTTCTAGGTCAATTCGGATCCCAGGGAGATGTAGAGATGGGACCCGGTGGCGAGCCCCGGCCGCTCACCTTGGCCAGGTGCGGCCGCAGCTTCTTCTCTGCGCGCAGGAGCCCGGCGCTGGCGATCACGGAGTCCAGCACCGCGGAGTAGCGCTGAGTCTCGCACACCAGCGCGTACAGCTGCTTCACGTTCTGCGGCGGAGGACACACGCGGCACCCCGTGGGACTCGCCTCCCACTCCCAGCAGGCCATGCCCCGCTCCCCCGTCTTCCCTGCACCCGGCCCCGGCTACCTGGAAGCTGCTTGAGTACACCAGCCCCTTAAGGGAACCCTGGCGGCGCTCCACGCCCGCCAGCACGGCCGCCGCGGCCGCATACAACCCCATGTTCCCGTTTCCGCGTGTCTTTACGGCGCTGTCGCAAAAGCTCAGCCGTTTATGGCCGCCGCTGCACGCAACACGGCCGGACTTCCGGGTCAAAGGGCACTAAGCTTTCTTTGCCGTTCAGAAACACCTGATTTGGCTTTCATCCCAGTAGCTAAAAGAAAAAGTGATGCTAACTTGCCCTTTCTGTAACTTGGTTTAGTCGTCATTGTTTTTAGGTTTGGAGACAGGGTTTCACTCTAGAACTCACAGTGTACCCCAGGCTAGCCTGGAACGGATAGCCATCTTTCTGCCCCATCCTCCAGTAAGGAGATGGAAAGAATGAACCACCACTCGGCTCTCTCTCTGTATTTCCCTCCCACTTCAGGTAGAGCACCTGCCTAAAATCTCCCAGTGAGAGGCTGGGGTGTTGTAGCTCAGTGGTAAGAGCACTTGCCTACTATGTATGAGGCTCTGGGATTTCATCCCCAAGACTGCAAAAAATAGCGACGAGTATTAATATGTATATACAGCAAGACAAAAAGAAAACTGGGCAGGAGATGTTGCTAGCAGAACATTTGCCTAGCCTGTGCAGGTCCTTGGGTTCAATCGCCCACATTGCAAATACTATTAATAATGATGGCTGGGGTTACAGCCCAGTTGGTAGAGTGCTTGCCTCACAAATACAAAGTCCTGTGTCCTACCCTCAGCACCACATAAATCAGGTGTGGTAACACATACTCATAATCCCAGCACCCAGAAAGTGGAATTAGGAGGATCAAGAGTTCAAAATCATCTTTGAATACATAGTTCAAGGTCAACCTGGACTACAGGAGACCCTGTCTCAAAATAATAGTAGTAGCTGGGACCAGAGAGAGAGCTCAGCATTAAGAGCATGTACTGTTTTTGCAGAGGACTTAGGTTTGGTTCCCAGCACCCATTTCCAGCAGCTCACCATCACTTGCAACTCCAGTTTCAGGGGATCCACTACCCTCTTCTGGCCTCCAAGAGCATTGCACTTAGGTGCACAAACCCTCAGAAACAATTAAAAATATGCATATGCATATGCACATAATAAAATTTTTTGCTGAGCATGGTGTACACACCTTTAATTCCAGCACTCGGGAGGCAGAGGCAAGCAGATCTGTGAGTTCAAGGCCAACTGGGTCTACACAGTAAGCTCCAGGCCAGCTGGTAGACCCTGTCTCAAAAAGGCAAAAAAAAAAAAAAAAAAAAAAAAAAAAGTATCTCGGAACAAACCTGATCAAGGACATTAAAGATAGTAGTAGTAGTAATAATGATGAGAAAGAGGCAGGAGAAATGGCTCAATGGTTAAGAGCACTGGCTTCTCTTGCAGAGGACCCAGGTTTAATTCCCAGCACCCATGTGGTGGCTAACAAACTATCTGTTAACTCCAGTCCAGGGGATTTGGGGCTCTCTTCTGGCCTCTGTGGGCACTGCAACGTGTATGGTGCACTTTACATACATGCAGGCAAAACACACATAAAATACAAATAAAATTTTTTTGGTCTTTTTGAGGCAGGGTCTCCCTGTAGCCCCAGGCTGGCCTTATAAATAAAAAAATTTTAATTAAAAATGGGAAAGAAATAACATCACATTTACTGTCTTTAATACGTTTGAAGGTCACAACACTAAGGATAAAATACATGTGAGAGCATTTCCTCTCTCTGCTGGAGAGTCAGGAGGTGCAGGGCTGCTTAGTAGCTGAGGGGATGTTGGACTCCAAAAGGTTAAGCTCATAACACACCCCTAGGTGGTGGAGAAGGAATTATAATCCCCAGCATAGATGTTCCAGGGACACACAGGTAAGAACTTTCTCAAGAAGTAAAGACATCCTTGTGAGACTCGGCAGAGCCCTTGGAATCCCTGTGTCTGGCAAGATGGACCAACAGGAAAACAGAACTAAGACAGTCTACAGCTTGAGGGGCTGTGAAGGTGTGAGGTGGCCAGGCCCACTGGGTGGGGGCAGTACCATGGGCAGTGAGTTGCTGCTCCTCTCGTGCCAGCATGTGTCCAGGATGGGGTAGAGCTTGCCTTGAAATTCAGCCTGGAAGGTGTAGAGTGGCCGCAGGTCATCAGGGCGGTCAGCATCAAAGAAAGTGAGCTCTCCCTGTTCATAGTGTAAGTAGACACCAATTCTGTGGGGGTGACTAGACACAGGCAGTGGTACCCGCTGGCAGCCAAAAGCCTCATACACCCGGCCCTCCTTCAGGCCAATCAGCCACACACCATGCTCTGGAGACTTGTTTAGTTTGCCCTTGCGGTTGGCTGTGCCCTTGATGACTCCCAGGCGCCAGTCGCTCTTGCTGCCCACTACCACCTCCCAGTAGTGACGACCCCAAGAGAAGCCACGACTGGCCAGAACACAGGTGCTGTAGTCAAAGCGTTCTGGTTGGCTGGCACGTCTCTGGGCCAGGAGACCACACTGCACCACTGTGTTGCCTTTAGAGAGCTCCAAGAGTGGATGGGCAGTGGCTGGGTCCAGCTTGAGAGATTCTGGAGCTGGGAGAAAGATTAGAGAGATCTGTGGTTAGGTCACAGAGAAGCTGCAGACCCTATCCAATAAGCAATGGTGAGCCCCGAGCTCCTCACACAGAGGAGCTGCGCTTGTTCCAGCTCTGTTTCCCCTGGGCTTAGAAGGAACAGGCACAGGGCTGTGTTGTTGGATGGTTGGATGGATGGATGGATGGATGGATGGATGGATGGATGGATGGATGGATTGATGGGATGGACCTGGGTAGATAGATGGATGGGATGTGTGAGTGGATGGGTGCATGGATGCATGATGGGATGTGTAAATGGATGGATGGATGCATGGATAAATGGATGGATAGATAAGATGTGTGTGTGTGTGTGTGTGTGTGTGTGTGTGTGTATTGATGGATAGGATGGATGCATGCATAGATTGATGGATGTGTGAGTGGATGGATGCATTACAGCTGGCCACTGTGAGCAGAGGAATTCTAAGGAGAGGTGTAGTTCTGCCTGACTGCTGCAGGTATAGGTCCTTATGGAAGGATCTAGAAGATGGTTCTGCCCAGTGCTCCAGGATTTCTGATAAAAATCTGACAAATGCTTCATTTGTTAACCCAGTAGCCATTATCTGATGCTGTCCCATTCACCTTTCTGATAAGTAAAATTACTTGACTTCAGAAATGTGCGAACAAGAGTCATTACTCATAGTCTACAATTTATTTTTCACACCACACACCTTTTTATATTGAGACAAAGGTCTCATAAGTTGCTCAGGCTGGGCTGAAACTTGCAGTCCTCCTGCCTCAGCCTCCGAGTGCAAGGATTCTCTCTCTCTCTCTCTCTCCCCCTCCCCCTCCCCTTACCTCTCCCCCCTTCTTCCCTCCCTTCTTCTCTCCTTTCCTCTTCTTCCTTCCTTCCCTCCCTTCCTTTCTCTCCCTCTGTCATGCACATACACAGAGTAATCACCTCATTTTTCCAGTCACCCCAAGTCAGAGATGGAGCTGAGCCCAACAGAGCTGTATAGTGGAACCAGCCCCATCCTCTCCTCACTATCCCATGCAACTCCCCCTGAGAGTCTGTATGTTCCATGGTGCCATTAATGAATTGAAAGGATGAAAGTTTGGAGCCTCACCTGGCAGAACTTTCCGGAAGAGCCTCTTCCACACAGTCATCTTGATGTCAGCCTGGTGCAGGCCTGGCTTAAATGAGATGGGGCTGAACATGCCTTCCAAGGGCCGGGCCTGCTGGAGCTCTGTCCTGTAGGTAGTACATTCCAACAATGGGACAACTCTGTGTCCACAACTTCACTTAATCCACCTTCTCATGTGGGAAAGCACAAAGGCAAACCCACCACTCAGGCCATGTACTCATGATATCCATCATTCCCCTCCACACACGCACCCTTCCTAGATTTCAGTTACGACTTCCTAGAATTGGGATACAGCATAACAGTCACTATGGTTTGAATTAGAAATGTCCTCCATAGGCTCAAGTTTTGAAGCTTGTTCCCCAGCTGATGGTGCTATTTAGAAGGCTATGGCACCTTTAAGAGGTGGGTCCTGCCTGGTGGAAATAGGTCACTATGGGCAGGCCATTAAAAGTTATACCCACCCCTGACTTCAGCCTTATCGCTCTACTTCTTGTCTACCACCATGTGAACAAACCTCCACTCTCCGATACCACTGCCATGAATGCTGTGATGCCTTCGAGGCCATGATAGGGTGAAATCCTTCTGAAACTGTGAACCAAACTAAACCTTTCCTCCCTTACTTTCATCAGGTATTTTGGTCTCAGCAACATAAAAGTAACAAATACAACAGGTATTCACAACCACCCAGTTTCTCCTGGGAACTTATTAGAGATGCAGATTCTTGGGCTCTGCTCCAGACCTCCTGCTCAGAAACTGATCACCCTGGGAAAATTCATGTACCAAGTAACCCGTTGTCAGCCATAGCTGGGGAGGAGTCTGCTCCAAGCTAAGCCACAGAGATTCTCTGTCCATTCATTTCCAGCCTTGTTTCTTAGCCACATGGTTCCTCAAAATAAAGGAATCCAAAGAAAATAAGAGAGATAGCTCACTGGGTAAAGTGATTGCCTTGCAAACATGAAGACCTGAGTTCAATCCCTAGAACCCACGAAAGAAAAAAAGCGAGGAATGGGGCTGGAGAGATGGCTCGGCAGTTAGGGGGCACAGGTTCAGTTCCCAGAACCCACATGGAAGCTCACAACCATAACTCCAGTTCCAGGGGAGCTGATACCCTCTTTTGGCCTCCATGTGTATAAACATGCCATATGCATGCACACCAACACACACAAGTGCACTTGCACACACAAACACACAAAACAAGGAGACCCCAGTTAATAGGGCCTTGGGAAGGCTCAGGAACTTCAGGGTTTGCCAGCGCTCAGAACGTGGATTCACTCACCTCTGAAGGTCCACAGGGCACGTCAAGTCTCCCCACCCCAGTATTACCTGCCTCACACATTTCATCTCCCTTCCTCATGTATTATAGTTTCCTCCCCAGCAACACTGAACTTATCATCACAGCCCATAGACTGCACACTACCTCCCATTTCTCAGGATGGCACCCCACTCCGCCAACCTGCACATTTCAGCCTCCTCAGCTGTCACCCGTGTATCTTTGCCAGTCCCCAGCCACCACCACCTCTACAGTGCTTCCATAGGTCTGTGCCATAGCTACCCACAGGAATGGGACCCATTTTTTCCTCTTTCCAGCAGTCTGTTTTCCCTGAGGTCAGTGACAGAGTCATATGTGGGCAGCTGCATTGGGTTAGACCAAAGGGTGGAATCAGAAACAAGATGCTGTGCCCCCAGCCACTGGACACTGGCTGACCTCTCCCCCCCCCCAAGTAACTCCACCTAAGGTTGTTACCTGGAGGCCATAGAGTGGAACTTCTGGAAGAAAGAGAGAAAGAGGTAGGTTACAGCTGTGTGGAAACTATGCACTGTGGAGGAGAGAGCCGGGGACCACGCTGTCCACTCACCTGGATGAAATCATGGTGACTCTCAGTGCCAAACTGCTCCAGCACCTGCTCAGCCTGGGCCAGCCGCTCCTGAGTGCCCTGAGCCTGCTCCAGCTGCATGTCCAGGGAGGCCACCAGGCCACGAGTGTGCCCCTCAACCCCCTCTAGGCAGCGGGCCTTCTCCTCATCCACCAAGTGGTGTAGGTCCTGGAACTCACGACGGATCACCCAGCTGAAGACATCAGACTCATTCTAGGACAGGGAGGGCCAAACACTGCAGTCAAAGCTGAGCTGCCTGGCTGGGCAGAGTCCCCAGGGCCTTGCTTTTCTGAGCCATCGTGATGAGGGCTGCTCCTAGAGGCCAACGGGGTTAATGACAGCCAGGGAGTTCTAGGTGTGATTGAGTGATTGAGGAGCCCTGGCTGGAAATGGCCAGTTTTATTTTATTATTTTTTGCAGTACTGGGGATTGAACCCAAGGTCTCATGTACACTAAGCAAGCAATCTGAGCCTAACCCTAAGCTTTGTTTTTGAGACAGGGTCTCACTATACAGTCCTGCTGATCTGGAATTTACTATGTAGAGCAGGCAGGACCTGAATTCATAGAGATCCACTTGCCTCCGCCTCCTGGGTGCTGGGATTAAAGGCATGGGCCACCACACCCAGCCCTGAACCCTCAGCTATTTATTTATTTACTTATTTATTTATTTTTATGGGTATGAGTGTTTTGCCTGCATGTATGTAGATGCACACGTCATACAATGTCCCCAGAGGCCAGAAGAGGGTGTTAGATCCCCTAGAACTGGAGTTACTGACAATTGTTACCTGTCGTGTGGGTGCTGGGAACTGAACCCAGGTCCTCTGGAAGAACACAAATCTCTTAGCCCCTGAATCATCTCTCCAGCCCTGAAACCGTGAACTTATCCCTAAAACCCTAACCCTCTAACCCTAACATAGCCAAACTAGTGTAGGGGTGGCTGCCATTTTGCTGAGTCATGACTTGCTATTTCACTGAGTCATGATTTGGAACTTAAATTATATTTGGCTAGTTTTGCTGGATCATGTTTCAATGTTTTCCTGAGTCCTGGTTTGACTTTGGTGAGCAATGCTTTGCTTTCTGCTGGGTTATACTTTGCCCTTTGCTAAGACACAGTGTCATTTTGCAGAGTCATAGTTTGACGTTGTGCTAAGTCATGGTAGAATTTTTGCTACATCACCATTGGGTGTTTTACTGAGTCATCTTTGCCCATTTTGCTGGGTCAGCAATGGCCATTTGTAACTGGGTCCTCACTAGATCTTTTCCTGAGTCATCAGTTGACTTTTTTGATGAGTCATCAGACATCTTACACATTTTTAAAAGTCTATCTCTACGTGTAATTATGTTTGTATATGATTTGTCTATGTTTTTTTCTTTTTCTTTTTTGAGACAGGGTCCCCCTGTAACCCTAGCTGGCCTGGAACTTACTGTGTAGACCAGGCTGACCTTGAACTCACAGAGATCCACCTGCCTCTGCCTCTGGATTGCAGAGATTAAAAGCGTGCACCATCACACACCGCCTTTTTTTTTTCTCAATGTGTTTGAGTGTTTTATAAATGTACTGTGTTCTGCATGCCCACAGAGGCCAGAAGGGGGCATCAGACCCCCTGGACCTGGAGTTACAGACAGTTGTTAGCTGCCATGTGGGTGTTGAGAACTAAATCTAGGTCCTCTGCAAGAGCAGCTAGTGCTCTTAACCACTGAGCCATCTCTCCAGCCCCTTACTTATTTTTTATATTGTTTACAGGGCACCAAACTGATTTAGAAGCTAAAGATCATATGAACTAAAACTGTTAAGTTAGACCCAATTCTTTTTAGTCTATCGTGTCACTGAAACAGAAGAAAAAGTAAATGCAGTAAGTAGTGAGAATATTGGTGGCTTGGTCATGCCTCAGTTCAGGTTCTGCATGATGATCCATGATCCTATTGCCTGGGAGAAATAAACTGGCTCTCAGGATGCCTGCTGTCTGAAGCTCACCCTGACCTCATGGATAAGTGTCCTCTTCTGGGGGCTGATCCGTCTGGGCTCTTCAGAGAGTCACTTACCCCTATGCTTCCAGCTTTCCTTAAGTAACTAATATACTTACCTGCAGAATAAGCAAATGACTTGAAAAAGAACACACACAAATTAAAACATATGCCTTTTTTTTTGAGACAGGGTCTCCCTGTAGCCCCAGCTGTTCTGGATTCACCATGGAGACCAGGCTGGCCTCGAACTTACAGAGAGCCTGCCTCTGCCTCCTGAGTGCTGGGATTAACGGCATGTGCCACCACACCTGGCCTTAGTTCTTTTTGAGACAGGGTCTCCCTGTAGCCCCAGCTGTCCTAGAACTCACTATGTAGACCAGGCTGGCTTGAACTCACAGAGATCCAAGTGCTGGGATCAAAGGCATTCGCCACCACGCCTGGGACAGATGCCTTTTTAAAAGGGAAATGTTTTGTTTCTTGTTTTTTGTTTTTTTTTTAACAAAACAAGTTTCTAAATGCTTGCTATAAGACAACTATTTCACAACCTGCTTAATTTAGATTTGTTACTTTAAAAAATTATCCTGAGGCTGGAGAGATAGCTCAGTGGTTAAAATCACTTGCTGCTCTTGCAGAGAACCAGAGTTCGGTTCCTAGCACCCATATTGGACAGCTAACAACCACCTGTAACTCCAGCTCCATGGAGTCCAACACTATCTTCTGAATTTCACAGGTACTGTATTCATGCACATGCCCACACATACATACACACACATATATACATAATTTAAAATAAAGTTGTCTTAAAAAATTATCTCTAGGACTATTTCACCTGTATTTATAACTAATAGATATGAAAGACATAAAAATACATGTTTTCTATTTAAGATGTAGCTTCCTGGGTTTTCACTTAAATATAAAGTTGTTTTATTGGGAAAAATAGTAGGAGTTTATGAAAACTTGCTTAAGGAACAAAGATGTTATGTTTTATCAAGACAAGTGTTGATAGTTCTATTGAGTTTGTCAAGCTTCTAATTAGGAAACAGAATCTTAACAGAGTCAAGGTTTATTTTAAAATATGTCTTTGTCAGGCTTATCTAAGTGTTATGTAACAGCTAAGTTTTGAAGCACTATTTGTTCTTCAGGCCTACTGTAGCTGACCTTCTGAGCGTTCAACAACCATGCTTGGAAGCCAAAGCCAATAAGGATATAGGGAACTAAGAGGACAATACAGGGGACTAAGCGGACAGCCAATATTTTGGCCCCATGTCCCCAAGCCAGCTAGCTTCCAGGGAATAATGGGACACCTTTCAAAAGGTCCTGCAGTTCAGGTGAGTCACCCATCCTCTTGATTAGAGAGGGCTGCAGAGACCCAGAGGTTGGACTCTAATCAGTGTACATTCTGGAAATAAGAGGGTCAGCACAAAGGGAAATGTCCTCAGTGCTTCCAAGGAAAGCCATATGGTCAGCAAGACCCCCACCCATCCCAGCAGATGGCATGACTTGTGAAGGAGACTGAAGGATCCAGGAGCTTCCACAAAGACCCTAGAAGTAGCCCCTGAAGATTCTCAACTGACCTTGACAATAAAAACTAAATTAGGGCTTGGGAGGGTGGGGCTGAAGGCATGTCTCAGTGGTTAGGAGCACTTGCTGCTTTTTCTCAGGACTCAGGTTCATTCCCAGTACCCATACTGGACGACTCACAACCACCTGTAACTCCAGCTCCAGGGGACCCAATGGCCTCTTCTGACCTCTGCAGACACCTGTGCATGAGTGCACACACATGCAAACATGTATATGTACATATAAATGCAAATAAAATCATAAAAAATAGTGACTGGAGAGATGGCTCAGTGATAAGAGCACTGGTTGCTCTTGCAGAGGACCCAGGTTTGGTTCTCAGCACCTACATGGTAGCTAACAATCATTCAAAACTCCAGTTCCAGGAGTTCTGACCTCCACAGGCATGGCACACACTCATGCAGGCAAAACACTCATACACATTTTAAAAAATTTTTTCTCTTTCTTTCTTTCTTTCTTTCTTTCTTTCTTTCTTTCTTTCTCTCTTTCTTTCTATTTTTGGTCTTTTTGAGACAGGGTCTCCCTGTAGCCGGAGTTGTCCTGGAACTCACTATGTAGACCAGGCTGGCCTTGAACTCACAGGGATCCACCTGCCTCTGCTTCCCAAGTGCTGGGATTAAAGGTGTGCGCCACTACACCCAGCATTTATTTATTATTTTTATTTTATGTATATGCATGTATTGCCTGCATGAAGGTAAGTGCACCCATGTCGTGCAATGCCCGCAGAGGACAGAAGAGGCCATCGGATCCCCTGGAACTGGTGTTACAGTTGTTAGCTGCCATGTGGGTGCTGGGATTCAAATCCTGGTCTTCTGTAAGAACAACCAGTGTTCTTAACCACTGAGCCATCTCTCCAGCCACAAAACACTCATACACATTTTAAGAAATCTTTAAAAATGATACTAAAATTGGTTAACATTTGGCCACATGCATGGTTTTATTTTTTAATTTATTAATTTTTATTTCATTTGTACCAGTGTTTTGCCTGCATGCATATAAGTACACCCACATTGTGCAATACCCACAGAAGCCAGAAGAGGGCATTGGATCCCCTGGAACTGGAGTGATAGATGGTTGTTAGCTGTCATATAGGTGCTGGGAACTGAACCTGGGTCCTCTACAAGAGGAGCCAGTGCCCTTAACCCCTGAGTCATCCCTCCAGACCCACATACATGGTTTTAAACATCCACTGAAAAGATATAGTCAAAGACTAAACTGCTTGATAATAACATAAAAGGAAAAGTAGACTAGACTGGACTATAAAAAATGGGTCAGGACTTACACCTCCCCTTTAAACCCTGTGTACGGGCTACTGACATGCCAGGCAGGATAATCACAGCCAGCTATAACCAGATTAAAGAACTCTCGTGCTTTTCCTAACTCAAAGCATTTCCACCATCCCCCTCTTGGGGCTGAGAACAACTGATTGATACCACACATAATGTTATTACCTTTCCTCTTCCACTCTGACTCCCAACACTGAAGGCTTTCTGTCCAGGCCTTTGCTCTGATGTACACCATGACAGGCTGTCAAGGTCAAACAGACACAGGCGGCACCAGGATAGGGGAGTCAGGCCCCAGCTTTGGGTTGTTTATCTCTGGGACTCCAGTCCTGCCTTATCTCAGTCCCAAAGGACACCAAGAACACAAGCCAACTTGGAACCAGTCTGGACAACTGGGTTGAGTTCCCTTATAAGGAATGGGACTTTCCCCAGCCACCCTGGAATGCTTTGAACTTGGCTCTGTATGGAAGGCACCCTTTTCTGTAAAGGGCAAATTAGAAAAAGGTTTGCTGGGAATATGGCTCAGTGCTTGAATCTTGCACTTGCTTTGCATGCACAGGGCTCTGTGGTGATCTCCAGCACAGCAAAAATAAAACAAACAAAAAACCAAACCAAAACAAAAAAAGCCAGTAAAATTGGGATAGGAATCATCTAGAATACTCTAGTGAGAGGCTTGGGACACGGCTCAATGGTAAAGCACCTGTATAGAATCTCCCAGTGAGGGGCTGGGGCATGGCTCAGTGGTAGGGCAGCTGCCTAGAATACCCTAGTGAGGGGTTGGGGGCATGGCTTTAAGAGCTCCTGCCAAGAATCTCCCATTGAGGGACTAGGGGCATGGCTCATAGGTAGAACACCTGTCTAGGATTGGCTGGGGATGTGGCTCAGCAGTAAAACACTTCTCTAGCATGCATGATATCCTGGATTCCATCCCCAGCACTGCATAAACCAAGAATGATAGGGCACATTTGTAATCCTAGCACTCAGGAGGTAGAGGCAAAAGCATCAGAAGTTCAAAGTATTCTTGGCTATATCATGAGTTCAAGGCCAGCTTGCGCTACATGAGACTTCATCAGAAAGCGAATGGGAATGGGAAGGGAAATGGGAAGGGAGAGCTGAGTTCTCTAGGAAACGGGGGGGGGGGGTAGCTGGACCTAGGCATCCAGGCAGAGGGAATGTACTTACAAGGATCCGGGTCCTGTTGTTCACCAGTTTAGCAATATGCTCCTCCACCTTCCTCTGTTCCTGCTTCAGGTCAGAGATGCGGGCTGCAAGCTCCTCCTGGGGGTGACATGCCACAGTCCTGTGAGCAGCTGGCCCATCGCCCTCTCTGCTCCTCCTGCAGTCCAGAGCCTCTCTCTTCTTGGGAGCATCCCAGTAACTGTGGTGACAGTGGAATCAGGGTAGGAACCAGAGCCATCTGGGTGCACTCGACCCCAAAACGGGAAGAATATTCAATGGAGCCAGGCATGGTGGTGCATGACTTTGATCCCAGCACTTGGGAGGCAGAGGCAGGAGAATTTCTGTGAGATAGAGATAGAGGCCAGCCTGGGTTACATAGTGAGTTCCAGGCCAGCTGGAGCCTACAGGGAAAACCTGTCTCAAAAAAAAATTCAATAAATAAATAGTATTCAAAGATGGCTATGTCAATTCAAACCTGTAATCCTGGCACTTAGGAGGCTTGGGCAGGCGTTCAAGGCTAGCCTGGGCTGTATATGGTCAGACTGTGTCAGAGAAGGAAGGAAAGGGAAAGGGAAAGGGAAAGACTAGGGGAGAGGGGAGGGAACGACAAAGGAGAAGGGAAGGGAAGGAAGGAGGAAGGGGAAGGAAGGAAGTTAAAAAGAAAGTGAGGGTCTGAAAAGATGACTCAGTGCTTAAGAGCACTTGCTGCTCTTCCAGAGGACCTGAGTTTAGTTTCCAGCACTCACATTGGGTAGCTCACAACCACCTGCAATTCCAGCTCCAGGGGATCTGACACCCTCTCCTACCTTGTTGAGCGCACATGCATGTGCATGCGCACACGCGTGCACACACACACACACACACACACAAATTTTTTTTTTCACAGTTGGTTACTTTCTGAGCTTCTAGGCATCTGAGCATGAATATAAAGTCATCAGGTAGATTTCAATGGTAATGTTTTTCACATCTACTAATTATTGTTTTTTAATCTTTATTTTTTTATTTTTTTTTCATACAGAAGAATTCATTCCAAAGCAATTGACATTGAGACGTTTTCACATGCATTTCTAATCTCTATATACATGACTATCACTGGTCACAGTCGCCCACCTTCTGAGCTCCTCGGCATCTGAGCATGAATACAAACTCGTCAGATAGACAGCCTTCCTCTCCCACTAGAGGCTCCATACTCTGCCATCCCTGTCACTGTCCACTGACACACACACAAATTTTAAAAATCACATCTTTAATAAAAAGAAAGAAGAGGGCTGGAGAGATGGCTCAGTGGTTAAGAGTACTTACTGCTCTTCCAGAGGACCCGAGTTCAAATCCCAGCACCGAAATAACAGCTAACAACTGTCCATAACTGCCTGTAACTCCAGCTTCAGAGAAACAGACACCTGGCCTCCTTGCACTTATGTGCACATACACACAGAGACATATACACACACACATAATCAAAATAATTTTTAAAAAAGAAAGAAGAGGGGCTGGAGAGATGGCTCAGTGGTTAAGAACACTGGTTGTTCTTGCAGAAGACCTGGGTTCAAATCCCAGCACCCACATGGCAGCTGACAACTGTCCATAACTCCAGTTCCAGGAAATCTGACAGCCTCTTCTGACCTCCACGGGCATTGCACGACACGGGTGCACTTACCTACATGCAGGCAATACACTCATACACATAAAAAAATTAAAATAATAAATAAATTTTTTTTTAAAAAAAGAAGAGGGCTGGGGAGTTGGCTCAGTGATTAAGAGCACTGGCTGCTCTTGCAGAGGACCTGGGTTCAATGACCCACCACCCCATCCCCCAGCATCCCGATGAGTATCTTTGTGTATCATGGAATATCATCGTCAGTTGATAGGAACTCAGCCATCAGTCACCCACATAAAGCTTCCGGGAGTGTGTGAAAATCCAAAAATCTCTCAGGAGCAGCAAGCACCTGACCTTCCTTTGTTGTGTCATTCCATCACCTGTTTGGAGATAGAAAGGAAAGAAAGTGAGTCAATCAAATGAAGTCAGTCTCTACACATTGAGAAGGAAGAATGAGGAAATTACCAAAAGTGTTGAAAGGGAGAAAGGTGTCTTCCCAGGAGGAGGAAGAGGAGGAGGAGGAGGAGGAGGAGGAAGTAAACATAGGGGTAACAGGATGAGTGATGCCATGTTCTTGCCCTGGATACAGAAGCCCCAGGTGCCTCGCAGCAGTCCCGGGAGGGACTGCCAATGTTCACTCACTGAGGCAGAGAGCTGGGACTGGGTCCAGTTACCTGGGCCACATGGAGAGGAAGCTATGCAATCAGGCCAAGCATGGTGGTACACACTCAGGAAACAGGCAGGAAGATGGAGAATGTGAGGTCAGCCTGGACCACATAGTAAGTTCCAGGGCAGTCAGGATAATGCAGCAAGACCCAAAACAAAAGTAAAGAAATCAATCTAGTATGAGGTTGACATCAAGTGTCTTCCTCAGTTTACTTCCATATTTTTCCTCTTTTTTTTTCTTTTCTCTCTCTCCCCTCCCCTCCCCTCTCCTCCCTCCCTCCCTCCTTCCTTCCCTTCCTCTCTTTGAGACAGGGTCTCACTAAGCAGTCCTGAGTGGCCTAGAACTTGCTATGTAGACCAAGCTGTATTGGAAATCACAAGCGATTTGCTTATTTCTTCCTCCCGAGTGCTGGGGTTAAAGGTGTGTGCCCCCCCCCATTTCGGTCTTTTTGAGGCAAGGTTTCCCTGTAGCCAGAGCTGGCCTGGACTTGCTATGTAGACCAGGCTGGCCTCAATCTCACAGATATCTGCCTGCGTCTGTCTCCAGAGTGCTGGGGTTAAAGGCATGCACCACCTGGCTCTCTCTCTTCTTTTCGAAAGAGGGTTTTGTGTAGCTCAGGCTGGCCTCAAACTTGATTTATAACCAAGGCTGACCTTGAACTTCTGATCCTCCTCCAGCCTCCAAGTCTGCAATACTGAGATTTACAGGTGTGTGTGACCATCATGCTTGGCTCTCCACCTCACTTTCCCTCCTGCATTGTGGAATGACTATATGTATCTGTGTGTGTATCTGTGTGTATGCTGTACGAAGGTGTATATGGATGCACATGCCCATTTGCACACATGAGAGAATGCCAGAGGAAGATGTCAGCATCCTGCTCTATCACTTTCTTTCTTACTCTCTTGGGACAGAGTCTTTCATTGAACCTGGAGCCAGGTAGAAGCTAGCAAGCCCCAGAGAGCCTCCTGTCTTTTCCCCCCACATGGCTGCAGTTACAAGCACACACAGTAATGCCAGGCCTTTTTTATATGAATGGTGATGATTCGAACTCAGGTCCTCATGCTTGTGTGGCAAGCACTTTTACCCAGTGAGCCATCTCCTCAGCCCTGGAATAACTTCTCTGATTTCAAATGCCTCCTGGTCTTTTGCATGTGCTAGTTTTGTTCCTAGATTGCGTTTCCTTGTTTTTTATTTGACCTATCTTGCTTGTGATTCAGGGCTCGGGTTAGCAGCCCACTTCCTCCAGGAAGCCTTCCCTGACTACATGAGACCTCACAAGATCCGTGTTCACACCGTGTGACAATTAATCTTCAGTGTGACTTGACAGTTGAAATCACCATGTAGACACATCTCTGGTATGTCCATGATGGTGTTTCCAGAGAGATCTAACTGTGGAGGAAAAACCTAACCTAAATGTGGGTGGCACATGCAATAGGTGGGAGTCTAGAACTGAATAAAAAAGGGGAAACTAGGGACTAAAGAGATGACTCAGTGGTTAAGAGCATCAGCTGCTCTTACAGAGGGCCTGGGTTCAGTTCCCAGCATCCACATGGCAGCTAACTCCAGTTCCAGGGGATCTGATGCCCTCTTCTGGCCTTAAAGGGCATTGCATGCACATGGCGCACTTACACACATGCAGGCAGCATACTTATAGACATAAAATAAAAACAAGTAAAACAAAATTTAAAAAACAACTGAACACCAGCATTCACCTCTCTCTCTCTCTGCTTCCTGACTATAGATGCAATGTGACCAGTCACTTCACACTCCTGTTGCCATGCCTTCCCACCATGATGGACTGTGCCCTTAAACTGTGAGCCACAATAAACCCTTCCTTGAGTTGCTTTTCCATAGGTATTTGCTCACAGCAAAGAAAAAATTACCAACAGCAATGAGCATGTAACTTGGCAGGAGCACCCAACACACAGACCTTTCATCATACCCAAACCTGCACATTCCAGGCTGGTGAATCTTCTGCCATAATGTTGTAGGAGAGATTAGCACATTGCCTACACATATTAGACAGCAGTGTGTGCATGTGGGTAAAAGGGACTGGTGAATGACTGCTCAGCCTTGCACAGATATTATACTTGCGTTTCCAGGTTGAAGGAGCAAAGAAATGCAAGAAAAAAGAAAGATCAAATTGACCTCTTCAGTTCCAGATCTGCCATTTACTTAGTTCCCCTCCCTCCCTCCCTCCCTTCCTTCCTTCCTTCCTTCCTTCCT